TTTAGTAAACCCTGAACCAAAGCAAGAGTATATTCTAACACATCCCGAGTGAGGCAAATTCACATTACTAATTATTTACATTACAATTTGTATTCTACATATCAACCCTACATGAATCATTCATTAAAGTTATTTTTTCCAATTTCAGCAAGAACTCGCATTTCAATTTTTATTTGAATAAAACTCTAAATTACTCTATTAAAAAAAATACACTATTGGTCACTAATTAAACAATTCTGTCAAATATTCAAATATCTTCGATCTGAAGCCATTTTCTAGCTGCCTTGCAATCAGCCTTCTGATTGGTGTTTTTACATGCTGTCTCCAAGCAACATGATACAAACTGTAGCAAACACCAGAGGCCAACAATCACCTAAGGAGGAACTCATTTCAGACCACCATTCCAAATAAATAAATTTTAACTTCTTAAATTGTGATATGCTCAAGGCTTATACAAATTAAAGATTGCAGTGAAGAAATACACTGATGGATTAATAAATAACAAGACTAACTGAAAAAAGATTACATTAAGGATATGCTGTCTATAGCAAAATGTGAAAAAAACTCATCCACCCAATTTAAGGGTCCATGCAACAGAATACAAAGCTCAATCCAGACTCAAACTTCAAAGATAGTCATGATGTGCCTATATATGGACATGATGTGATGTAATCATGACCATATTCAGGCATGTCACAGGTTTTTGTCACACGATATTTAATAGTCTGCACAGGGACAGAGCCAGTACCAGTTGTCAAGTGTTTACAATTCAATTGAGCAAGCCATTTATTAGCAGAGAACACTGGCTCTCAAGACACTTACAGTCTAGCAAGCACATACACCACAAGTTAAATATACAGAAAAAATTGTTAATTTATAAGAACGGTATTTTTGTCTGTTAATTTAAGAACATTTTAATGTATGTAATGTAATTCTCACATGAAACTGGCTTAGATTTACTAAGCAAATCACAATGTTGTACTTTCTTTAATATGTTTTCCCTCAATATAGACAGCATATCTTGAGTAAACCATCCCTTGTGTTTTATACTAATCATAGATTTGAATAAATAATTGGCACAAAAAATGGTAGAACTACCATGAGTTGTAGAAATCATAGGTGTACAATCATCAATAAATCAATTACCCAGAGAGCAAATATAGCTCTATAATGTTTATTATTTTACAGACAAAATAAAAAAGAAATAAATTAATAATAATATCTCGAATTTATATGGCGCCAATTCCAAACAAGATAAAAGGCGCAACGCACATGAAAAGCCACCGGAAAACAAATAGGTCTTAAGCTGTGACTTAATAAAAATAAATAAATAAAGTTGGAAGAAGTTATGTAATTTGGAAGTTGGTTCCAGAAATAGGCAGAAGCAAAAGTAAAAGAACATTGACCGTAGGTTTTGGTACGGCATTTGGAGACAGAAAGAAGGATTTGAGAGGATGATCGGAGACGGCGAGATGGAGTATATCAGGAAATCATTGAACGTAAATATGAAGGTTCGTTCAGATGGAGAGCTTCAAAGGTCAGAACAAGTAATTTAAATGCAATACGTTGCCTGATTGGCAGCCAATGAAGTTCACGCAGTGAAATTGAGCAATTGTTCGTGTCTTGTAAATGCCTGCAACAAGTTCCAATGAATATATTTCATATAACACTCTTATACAGATGCTACATGAGACCATTGCAGACCATTACTTCTAACAGTACTTATTGATTGCATCATGTGGTATAAACTGATAGCTGACAATGTGGCTTACTAGATTACTGGCTTTCAACCACAAGTTCCTGGGTCCAAATCGATAAGCCTCACAATGGATTGGAATTGCATCTTGTTTGTTGCAGTTGGATGCAAATAATATCATATCATAATATTATGATAAAAAAAAAAACAACTTTGGCCACACAGAAAATTGTTCCAAGAATGGTAGTCACAAGATAAATAAACATTTAAATTATGGCGGTATCATAGAGCTGACGATGTCATATATGGTGAACTGCTTTGGCACTAAAGTTGACAACTAGAACCCGGCGGCCCAGTCCACATAAGAGTCGCTATTAAACAGCTCGTTGATGCCCTTGGGAGACGCTAAGTATCTATAAAAAAAAAAAAAAAAGAGGAGATATATTTATTATTCTAGATACATACATACCGTATATACTCGAATATAAGGCGACATGCGTATAACACGACCCCAAAGTGCGAGAAGATTTTTGGATGATTTTTGTGCGTTGAACGTACAAGAAAACCCTCTGTTTCATCGTTGGAGATTCATACTTTTTGCTGCTCTTTATGGTCTCTAGCTGGCTAAGAACGAAGCCAAATGTAGGGCTAATCTTAAATAATACAATTTTCTTGGTTTTGGAATGTTCATCAAAATCTTATTTCCCAGTATTTAAAACTGCGTTCATTCATACTAACATTTAGTAGCTTAAATGCAGTAGTAAATTCACATGTTACGGATGATCTGCACATAACACAAACATGATTTCAGAAATTTAATATTTGTATGTCGCACGTATAAGACAATTCCATATATTTCGATCGTAATTTGCTATTTTAATCCTTGTCTTATCCTTGCCGAGTATGTACGGTACATTACACGCTTTCTGAATTTTGTGTAATCTGTACATCTTCTTTGAATTTTTTTTCAAATTTATTTTTTTAAAAACACGCATCAAGTTAGTAATTTACCTTAGGAAGACGTTCAGGTGTTTCTGTAATGGCTTCAGCTTTTTGGGTGGAATTTCCATCTTTCCTAATAACTCTGGTAGTTTTACTGTAAATGGCAAATCAAACAAAAATGTTTTTTTTTTTTAAGTTTGACAAAAGGAGTTTAAAAGAAAATGAGAAAAGTCACCTTCAAAAAATGGTAAAAACACTTACAATGCAAAAAAAAAAAGAGAGTTTCCACTCTTCAGAAAACTCAGATGTGGTAGGGTATAAGATGTGCACTGAAATGAGAACTTACCAAATAAGCGCAGGAGATGGTGCATCCCATACATCTTGGAAGGCAGAACATGCCCATCAAGGCTGGCATTTTCAGGTACTAGCATGAAACATGCAGCTTGCAGAATCTGCTTAGCATCTCCAAAGTCCTTCTTATCTCTGGAAGAAGCTGAGGATGACAGAGTTTGCTTAGCCTCAAGCTTTTCGGACTTAATAGGCTCAGCTGCTGAAGGATGCGAGATTGGGGTTTCTTTATCCTGACTGATATCTGGAGGGCAAGATGTCTGTAGGGCTAGCCTTGAGGAATGTCGAAGGCTTTGCCTGCCTTTCTTTTGAGGACTGTGATCCACGGAGGATGATAACCGTGCTGCGGAACTGTTTGCAGCAGTGCTAGATTCTGTGCTCTTTTTCTTTCCTTCTGAATGTGCAGCTGCAGAAGTTCCTAAACCTCCGCTGCTGGATAGTCTGCGTGTAATGCGCCGTGTTGTCTCCGTTTCCTCTGGTTTTTGGATGTCGAAGGAGGCTGCTACCTGAGGCTCAAGAACTGGTGGAGATATACTACCAGATGATGACTTCCGGCTTCTTTTACGACCTTTAACTGCTGGAGCTCTAAATATAATAAACAATGAATTATTGTTTATTAGTGCAACAAATAATAGTACAAAAAACAATTGAACAATAGACTGAAGTCACAGAAAGAGATAGTCATATTCGGTAGATAACTCTGATATATGATGCCTAAGGTTGCGGCTGCTAATTGGCCCCCAGTCTTCGGGAAATCGGGACGGCCTCTCACAAGCATCTCCCGGAAAATAACCCATCTCCTGCAAATTCACAATACTTGCATATTTTTACTACATTATTATCTATTGTCTCACAGAAGACAGTGATGATGAGTATCATCTTCGGCAGCGAAATAAAATTAAATATTGTTAAGGAAGCTCATTTAAACAGATCTTCCAACTTGGGACCCTGTGTGCCAGTTAAGCACCTGGGACTGAAGTAACAGACCCAATTCCAGACAATTGACCATTCCACTATGCCTACCCTTTCAATACCCCTGATACTGTCCCCCAAACGACAGCCTTTCCTAGGGAAACATGGTCATAAACTTGTGTATTTTTTAGGACATGTGCATATTCATACCTCCCACCTATGGAATAACACATTCTGATTGGCCAGTTAATAAGTTATATTAACACGACATAGAAGTCACCTACACATGCAATCTAGGTTGTTAACAGAGTGTCTCCTTACTCATAGCTATGAAAGTGAAAAACTAAACATATATACGTTCAACAATTAGCGAAATTTACCCATTCTCATCGGATTTGGCGTCTTGAGTTGTGACCTTCTTCTTGGCAACTAACACCTCATACTGTTTCTTCTCCGGTAAGTAGAGTAAGCATGCTGGTAACATGAAGTCAAACATGATCCGTAAACCATCCATTACTTCTTTACATAGTTTCAAGCTAAAAAGGAGGAAAAATGTACATGGCATAAGACAAAAAATGTGTAGAATTTTACAAAAATAGACAAACAACATGCTTTGACAACTTTCAGTACTGACATATTGATAAAGTTAGTTTATTGTGATCCGATATTTTCAAACCATGGAAACACTTCAAGATGTACTATTAGTTAAAAAATACAGGAAAATACCTCATTAGCTTCTAATGAGAAACAAAAAAAAAAGTAGTTTTCACTGATTTAGATATTTTACTACAAAAATCCTTAAATTGATTACAAGACAATTTAAGGATCTATGCAAAAGAATACAAGAAAGTTATTATTTAACTGTCCGAAAATTGATGGAGGAATTCTTATTTATAATTAAAATTTTTAATTTAAAGTTAATAACTTAATTAAGTATACAATTTAAGCAATTCAAATGTGGAATTTCAATTGTTTTTACCTCATGAATGATTGTACATCTTTCAATTGATGTATTCTACATATATCACTTTGAATGACAATAACAAACAGAATCTGAGAAGCTTACTTATTAGTTGGAGCTGGTGGCTGAGGGATCTCCTTCTGCGTTCCTGCTGAAGTTAAGTATGTGGCCGGCACGGACTTAGCTTGTTTGTCTATTGACACAGCAAAGTATTTGATATAATCCTCCAGGATTGTTAAAACTGTTGGTGTGCATGGAAGCTTCACAAGCTAAAGAAAAAAAAAAAAAAAACATTAATAAAGTAAAATTAAATTCTGTGGGTCAATCTGGTGATAGTCATGTCATTGATAAAAATATTAAAATGTACTATACTTGTACTTTTTTAATTGGAAAATATAATACAGTAATTGAATTTATTTTATCTTATTTTTTTTTTAATTCCACTCAATGAAAATTAATGTTTTTCTTAATTATTATTTAAAAAAAAATTAAACATTATGCCTTAAATGACATGTACCATTCAACATAAGTAAAAATTAATTCAATTAAATAGAAACATCTTTAGTTGTTATTTATATTTGTAAAAAAAAAAAAAATACATCTATGCTAATTTAATGTCCATTCCCATGTGAAACGTACATTTTGCTTCAGCTTGTTTTAAAACAGTTTTTGGTTTTATATTTGTTTCTTTGAAGTCTTAGTTAACAAACGCAGTCTATATGTGTGAATCCTACAAAAACATAGCCATTACTATTAACATTTGCTTGAGAGAAGAGAGTGCTGGAGAGGAAGATGGAAGACTTTTTAAATTATTTTGAGTTTGGGAATGGAAAAGGGATGGGTCAAATCTGTTATACTTACAAAAAAGTATTGTATAACACTATGATTGAAGGACTGACATGAACATTGTTTATGGAACATTGTTTAGTATATACATCCTGAGACAGGATTCTCGGGATATGCAGGAAGATGGAACACTGTTTATACATATTGAAAATCTGATGGTACGAGTAATCGATGAGGAGGATTCGTGGAGCACATTAAATTACAAACTTTCTCTATGTGCTTGATAACAGCGCCATCAGTTTAACCAAACCATAAAATATCCTATAAAACAACCAAGTAGAGGAACAAGCACAAATGGTCTGTTTGCCAGCACTTGATGATGACTCCTCTAATAAAAATGCAAATCTTTTTATCAGCTCCCTCGATTTTTGTACACACTTATGCAGGCTTATTTTATATAAAAATCTATAGTATATCTTTATAAAACACATTTATTTATTTATTCCAAGACCAACAGCGAAAATTAATTACCACTTACACTTTACCCATAGATACAAGGTCCTGGTGATGCTGTTACTTGTACAACTGGTTATTGGCAAAATGGTAAAGGCCAACTCAGACAGCGTCGTACAACGCTATTTATCATAAGGGACAGTCTTCAGGTTGTCGTGAAAATATTAAACATGTTTAATATTCTACGAAGTGACTTCCCACATGCAAACCTATCGTGCCAGCTTTTAACAAATCGTGTCGAGATGCGTCATACGATGCTGCCTGAAATGGCCTTTAAAATTTCAACATTTTCACTCCTTTGGGAGTATACCTACTGTAGTCAATACCACAACACCCTACCAGGTACCGATTAATACTCCTGGGTAGAGAGAGATACTGTAAACGTAGGTAAAATGTATTGCTTAAAGACACTTGTAGGTGAAATACAGCGAACATTCTAACCTCTGACCTCCTGATTGTATACAACCATTCTGAGAAAATGCATACGTTACCTTATGTTTACAGTTGATTGTGTAACAATCCTCCTCAAGCTTCGATATGAGAGCAGCAGGAATGATAATTGGCACTTCTGTCTCCTCTTCATCATCACTACTTGAGTCCTGTGATTAAAATACAATCAATAGATGAAATATGGGGAAACCCTATAAAATCCAATTAAGTCATTGAATTGCTTATAAAAAGTAGAATATGATATTAACTTCCAAACAGAGGATTAAATGTGTTCACAAATTTACAGACCTTTACACCACAATTAAATTTATTACTGTCCAATTTAAGATAAATAATGCAGGTATTATAATGTGTTTGTTTAATCAGTGAGGAAAACATTTTTTTAAAATTTTTATTTTCAATTGAAAGCCACTGAAGTAGAACCCCTCCTTTGGGACACTCCTATTAGGCGAGATTTTTTTGATACCTTGTTTCGTGAACTTATTTTTTAAAGATCGTCAGAAATGGGTGGGAAAAAAAAAAATTAAAATCTTGTTTTTTACTTAGCAAATGGTCTTCCCAAAAACATCTAGACGGAGGAGAAAATAAAAATAACAGTGTAGTAATGGGATGGTTAAATGCTTTAAATATATATAATTAGGAAGACATATTTGGCAATTTCAAGGCAGCGGCGGGTGTAATAAAAATAAGAAAAACTTATATTTAAAAAAAAAAAATTTGGCCAAAAATAAAACATTATTATTATTCGAAATCATCATTATGGGCTGGCAGCGGGTTTGTGAAACAAGGTATAAAAAAGTTTCGCCATAAGGACAATTCTTTGGCCATGAATCAGATGAAAATATATCTTTTAACACTAGGCCCAACCACTATTTAGGGGACACCCCTATTAAGGGGACACTTTTTTGGTCCCAAACGTGTTTCCCCCTCTACTGTATTTTAATGTACACAGCAGTAAAAACAATCACCTTTACCTTTAAATATGTGAAATAAATAGAAAGAAATTCATTTTAATCCTTTTAGTTTATATTTTCAGAACAATTATCGTTATCTAACATCAGTTAGATGTACTATAAAAATACATAATTCATCCCTGTCACTATAAACACACTAATCACTATCCTTAGCGGTTGCTGACTCCCTATTTAAATTATTCATTCTTCAATTTTCTCAATTAACTATTAATGTGAAATTAAACCATGGAGCCATAAATAGTACTCTCAATGATTAAACAATGTACAGACATACTGTAGCTCGGAAGACTCTCTAACATTGCTAACGTTCAATCTATTATTACTCCACATTAAAGTTTATAGTAAAGAACAAAATCTTTCTTAATTGACTTGATTGAAAAGACAGGGTTCATATAATAGGTCTACAGGTCTGTATCCCTCACTTTATGTCAACAATTTGTATCACCTGAATAAATATATTAAAACTAATCATACAATAGAGAAATAAGCTGCGCTTCATAAACTAACTTCACATTTTTTATTATGTGTAAGAATGATGGTGCAAATAAACTTGTTATATTTTTTATGTTAATGGTTGGTGAAATGTATAGGGCATAAATACAATGATTCTATATGCTGTTAGCTTGTAGGAAAATAAAATATCTAGTAACAGAGAAAACTAAAAGAAACAAAACCAAAACCACCGTACCACACCCCACATAATTGAGACCACCAACAAGCAGTTGTTAGCATATATTATCAAACAATTTTTGCTGAATAATATGTGTAAAATAATTGTAGGGAAAGTCCTAGAAAACAAACTAAATCTTAGTTGATTACTAATGATGCACAATTTGGATTACTTACATTGCTATCTTCATCACTCACAGAACTGGTATAATCTGTCTCCATGTTACTTTCTGTATTGCAAAATATTTAAACAACATATTAACATTTTAAGGTAAAAATAAATTGACAACATTTGATGTAAACATACTACTGACATAATTTGATGTTCAAAGAACACTCTGAACAAACACCCAATCCAAACAAAACACTGAGTAATATTTGCACTACTGTACTGTGTTTCCTAGTCCATCACACATGCAGTCTGTGATATCAAATACAAAGGTAGGAATGTATAACCGCTAGGTTCACTTCCATAAAAATTACGGTTCAGCTATATAATTTTGAGCACACTATGCAAATGCCGAAGTTCATTGAGCTAATTATAGTTACCTCCGTGGACCAGAAAGTATAAAAACAAATGTTGCACATACCAAACTGTATGCCAAATCTGTTTTTGAAGTTTCATATATATTAATTGGAAAAACAGATGAATTTCTAAAAATATATTTTATTAAAAGTAAAATCTTTAATTAGGTTATAACATCAAAAGCAAAATTCTATAGGTATATGTATTTTTAAATTGAGACAAAAATGTATCTGATAGCCATTAGAAGTTATGTTAGCTCTGTCGTATTTTTCGAACTACAGCTTTCATTTTAAGAACAAAGATTTAATTTTATAATATACTATACAAATTAGCTACGGCACAAAATAATTATTTCTCACTTTCCCATCTCACATTTTAGGTGTTTCAATAATTAATTAATTTTATAATATACTATACAAATTAGTTAGGGCAAAAAAAAAAAGTATTATTTCTAGCTTTCTCATCTTAATTTTTGGGCTGTAACCCTTTTCAAAAGTCAAGTCATGCAGAGATCCAAACATCTGAGTAATCAACTAGTATCTGTGTGTGTTTACACCTGTCAAAGTGCTAGATATCTGACAATTCTAAGCTGTTAAATGTCAAGAGAGCCACTTCCAAAAATTTTGTGTCTGTAATCAAGAGAGGATGACACTCAACATAGGTGTTTTTGAACGTTTTAGAGGATTACTTTTACCTTATTTAAACTACACTCTGTTGCGATCGGTTGCGATGTAATCGGTGGTAATTCAAAAACTGATTACTCCTGATCACAATCAACGAGCGCATTCAGGCCAAATCACACTTTATATTGGAACGGGAGGTCAAACAGTACTACTAGGCCTAGGTCTCACCGTGGAGTAATAAAGTAATATAGTAATCGGGAGTAATAAAATTGTAGCACCCAATCGCAATTGCAACCGATCACAATGCTAGTTTGAATAGGGTATTACACTGTTTGTATGAACATGATTATTTCCACACTACCTTTTTAATGTAATGGTTAGTGGAAGCTCATTCTAAACATGGAAAAAATAAATCTTAATTTTTTTTTCTATTGTCCAACACAAAAAATATAGTATTGGACTAGTGTGCACAACATATATATTATAATTAGATATTCATTTAAATATAATTATATAATTAAGATCAAGGATAAAAATAAGGTGGCATTTGAAATTGACCATTCCATGGGTCTGTTTCTCTGTGTTGTTTCTCTGTTGTGGCACAGTCAGCTGTTGTTTTTGTGGCCAGACAAAAAACAGCATCACACACGTGTTCTATACTCTGAGCCTGTTAATACCGAGAATGCAGACCTAGGACTTCCAAGAGTCGTAGCCCTCTAGACATTGAACAGCTTGTGTATTCTTACAAGGAAAAACAGGGGGACTCATCCTTTCCTCTTTAAAAAAAAATTCAGGACAGGTATATTGGTTTTATTATTTCATTGTTTGTCAATAATTTTTTTTTTTCGCATGGATGAATAAATAAACGAATTGGAAATGCAGAGTATCTTGACAAACAGGAAACGTCAAACAGGACGTCTACTGAATTATCTAAGATAAGATAAAACAGACTCCAAATTTAAATAGAATTTGCAATCAATATTTCAACACTTTACATGGTAATCATGAGGAATCTCAGCCATATTACAAAATTAACACAAGTTTACAGTACAATGACCCTTTAAGACTTATGGCATTCTGTATACTGCAGTATTAAAAAAGTTAAGTATAAATGATTTTGTTATTACAAATGTAAAGTAGTAGTTTGAACCAGCTTTTAACAGTGGAAATACAATTGTCACAGTATTTTATTGACTAAAAAGAATAACTAACCCTCTTCTTCCGCTGGACCACTTGCTGCGTCCACCTTTTCCTTAAGTGATGGTTTTTTCTTCTTTTTCCTACAAAGACACAAACATTTCACTATTTACATACAAAGACATTTTTATCTGTTTAATGAAGTCTTCAATAAGATTATATAAATTAAATTACCAGAAAATATATTGCTTTGTATACTAAAATAACAAACATTATTATGATGGTTGGACTGCATCATAAATATAGTTAACAAAAAAATTAACGAAACAGAAATGCGGAAGCTTAGAAAATGCAATTACTTGAAGACACACTAAGTTACAAAATGTAGACAATAAAGGAAATAGAAAAACACCATAACCAATTACTTTCTATTAAACGTTATCAATATCAACAACATTTTTCATCAATTGCATAAAATTATATATACATATTATAAACAGCAAAATCAACAGTGTATTTAAAAAATGCATCAAAATCAAACCAACATGCAAAAAAGGTGAAAACTGTCAATTGTTGATAAAATTAACTGACATAAGATTAAAAATATTTATTAATTATATATCAGTATCTTTATTGAAAACAGTACAAAAACAAGAGCAGTACAACATTGAATCCTTGGCAGCCACTGGCTGAGTTAGGGATTCAAATTTACAAAGATCAAATTACAAAATTTAAAAAAATATAGGTTTATTTATACTTAAAAATTCAATTTTAAATTATTTATTATTATATACAAAAATTCATACATATTGCGATATTTAAATTAGATGATGCCATTACTATATAAGACCAACAACCTTACCTTCACTTTCAAGATGACAATGATCTTACAACATTCAACATCAACAGTTACGAAATGACTGAAACCTAAGCACCCTCTTACAATTACGTGTACAATGACTAAGTTGATGTTAAAGCTTTAATACTTTGGAGTGAACATTCTCCAAACAGTATTATCCAGTCACAGAACTCAATTGACTAAGCCAATGACCCCAACATTCTACAGTCTACATCCGACAAAGGTGAAACCACAGGCAAGTCAGAAGCTGGACCAAGTGCCTTTTAGTATGTCTGTGGTTACAGATGGGTTCGTTGAACCTACAGCTAACAGCATTAATCATCTACAGAATCAGTATTGCGGCTTGGAAAAGAATAGCCATTCTGCTCTTTGTACAGAATGCAGATCATGTGACCCATGGTTGGGGAATATTCTTAGAACAGTCAGTAAGCATGATTCTTTGGTTTACTCACAGCTTATGATTATTATAAAATGTGTGTAGGCCTACATTGTGACCACAAAAAAACAATGGGATTAATGTTAAACAAAATAAATAATTCCCCTACCAGTCGAACTACGTGGATTGAACTTAGTTAATATTGAAGGTACAGTATATTTCAAAGAAAATTGTTTATATCTTTTATAATATGCAAACATACTTGGGGGTACTGTACTATAATATTATATTTTTCCTTTCATTAATATTATTTATATTTGCAGTAGTGACATAATGAAACTCAATACAAGGGCACCAACCCATTCCATAAATCGTCCATGTGCAGAGCTAAAACTAAATGTTAGATGTGAAATAATGCAACTAATGAATATTCCTGAGTGGTGAGATTGAATATTTTTATGGCCGCACGATAAACAGAATGTATAAGAGGCTTGAATGGAGCGTTTCATCTTTCATCTCATAAAACATTGTTCCCCAACATTATCAATTTACTTATTTTATGCAACATACAAAGATCTTTTGCTACAAAGAGCATCTGCACTTGTAGGGTTAAAAATGTCAGATAGCGTGCAACTGAACTTAGATTGTGTTACTTTTCCAACACCGATGCAGTTCACTGACAGAAACTGCACAGAGAAATCAGCGAATGAACAAAATGTTTACAGGAAAAGTAATGTTAGCCATGCAATGTACTCTGTTTTCATTAAATACAACCATTATTTAATCCCATGTGACTTCTTGTAATTAACCAACTGAGTGACATGAATCTAAAGGAGCCTGTTTTCTATTGTCAAGAAATAAAAAAACAATTTTTAGATGTCACTTTACAAAATTTAAAATGCACTTTGCAAAAGGAAAATTAATTTTGGCCCTTTCACTAAATACTTAAAATAATATTACAAAACATTGTTTTATAATTTACTGAAAAATTATTTACACACAACAAGGCATTTATAGCCATTTGTCTTCTGTTGGGTTACTTATAGTGTACAGATAACATTTGATGCTGGAGACTATAAGATAATATTCATGGCCCAAGACAAGACACAGAAACATTTCTCTAGGCATTTAAGTATTTGTGGCAAAGACAAGCCAAACCAATCACTTGTCGCAAAAATCGATTTTGAGTTATTAATACAGGGTTAAAGTGTAAAATAGGAGAAATAAAATGGTAAAAAAATCATTAAAATCTGACATTTCCTTATGAAGTTACAAGCATTTAAGCATACAGCTGTTTAAAGAACAATATTAGAAATCAGCCTTCAAAGGTTATGATTTCAGGCATTTCAAATGCAGAAACTATTACAAAATCATTAAAAAGTGTTGTTTTAACATTGTAATTGGGAAAAATAACAGCACAGCATGATGTATAGATACGTCATAAACTTTAGTTTAGTGAAATAAAATAGATTTTTAAAAATTTTATATTCTAGCATGTTTTTGCTATTTTCTCTGAAACACAATTTGCGACGAGTGACTGGTTTAGCTTGTCTTTGCCACATTTGTGGACTCTTTAGGTAAAAAGCAATGAATTGTATACAAAACAAAATTTACAAAAGTTATCAACAAATATGTAAATTTCATTAACTTTAACGATCAAATCAGGTTTATAAATATTAAACCATCTGTGATTTGTGTACAAAAATATCATGCTCTCTGTACACCGATTTAAATTAATTCCAGGAAATATTGGTTATAATTACGATTTACGAATACGGTATACAATCTCTACTCATTTGTTGAAAGGTAGCTTCAATAAATGTTCGCCACAATTAGTAACTTGTACTGTAATATGAAAAGCTGGTTCAGCTACAACCAGGTTACATTTAGCTGCGAAGTACTGACCTTAAAGGTTCTTCTTTCACAAGCTGATGTCATACGTCATAATTCTCAATTTTGAGAGAAAATGAATTCTAGTTGATTTTGAAGTACTGTAATTTGTTCCTTTATCAGGTCTCTAATTCGTTGCTACGGTTAAATTTGCGTAAATTATACAACTTGATTAGCATTTATTGCATTTTCATTTTAATGATTACTTATTGATAAGGTTGCATTGTAAGTAAGTTAAAAATATGATGACAATTATTCTACTATAAATAGAGAATTCTTTTAGTGTTGTTTCTTTTTTGGATGGCCTAAGAATTCTTTTGTAATTCCTAAAACTCTTTTCGCATTTAATAACCAGGTAGTCACGTCAGAACTCAAAATAATATCATATATTATTGTAAATTTTGAATAATAAGATTCCATCTTTCAACATTTTAATTACTCTCGCTATGCCATCAGTAAACAATGCTGGCTGGTTCTGGTTTGAATTTTAATAAACATCAAATTTTTAATATATATTTTTTTTTCATTCATTTTCATCCCTGTGGTTTTTAGTTCGCATTTAATAACCAGGTAGTCAGACTTTTAAATAATAACATATATTATTGTAAATTTCAACATTTTAATTACTCTAGCTATAAGCCATCATTAAGCAATGCTGGCTGGTTCTGGTTTGAATTTTATATACAACTTTTTAATAGAATATTTTTTTTTCATTCATGTTCATCCCTGTGGTTTTGAGGCTCCATACCAAATAATCATCATGTTAATGCAGATCCTTGTACATTCTCTCATGAAGGTATATGGCTTTTTCTCATGTGCTATGTGGCTATTGACCACGTATACTCAGCATGATGTTTTGAAGAAGTCTAGCCTAACTCAGCTAATGTTGAATGATGCTTGTTATTACCAAATACTTTTGTCATGAGGTCATATAGTACTACCACTTGTGTCAATCTTCAAGTGTGTGAAATATTATTATATTTTATTGTGAGAGCAAGTATTTGAAATGTTTTTCTTGATTTTGACTTGTACCTTTATCAGCCTTCAGAGATTTGGTCATCCAGTATGGGTTGTCACTGATCTGCTCATTTTTTGTATTTTGTTTGTGTATGCATTCATTGTTATGTATTCAGGATTGTAGATTGTTAAAAAGTAAAGATGTGTCATAGATATTTGAAGAAGGGTGGGTGAGAACATCGGTAAACTGTAAATAACAGTGAGTGGACTTTAAGGATGGGCAAGGGAGCTAATAAAATTGAGTGGAATGCCATGGAATTAGCTTTACACTGGGTGACTGGTTGGTCCCGCCCACCTCCACCCACCATAACTACATCCTTGGCAATAATCTATATTCTGAAAAGAAATTAGATTAAATAACGTTTTGAATTTTAAATAGGAAGAAAAAGAAAAGGGATGCAAGATGGACTAAAAGGGAGGTAGCACTGTAAACCGACTTGGAAAAGTTTGGTGGTACAAGACCAGGCTGCATGGAAAAAAACTGATATGCCGAAGGGTATGAGATAAGACACGCCCTTGCCAGAAATCTTAACCATGACTTACAATAATTAAACTAATGGCCTACATCCTAGTGCCTTTATGGATATCAACTAAATAAAATATCTACAGGTTATACCAAGTCATAAAAACTAGATCTTAGTAAACTCTCTGTGTTTATGCTATGCTCGTCATAACCAATATCAATTACAACAGCGAGGTGGACAACCGAGAATTTACAAAATTAATTACAACAGCGAGGACTATGAAAATGTCCCAAATCAATACTTTAACAGGCAATTGAATCTAGAATATGAGATGACACGCGGGTTCACTGACTTCTGAAATTAATGAAGCTGATGTAATTGTGAACCGAAACCAACCAATCGGAATAAAGATGCACCAAATTGCCAGGGACCAAGAGTTATCTCTAAGTCTTTGTATTATGCTTGATCATCATTTCTGTAAGACAATGCATGCATTAAACTATATAAATGCATTTTGAAGATCTACTACAATACACATAGATTTATATGTGGATGTAATGACAACTGAAAAAGATTTTAAATATTTCATTATTTAAAATCATTTATATTATAACATTATTTATTGCAATTGTACATATGCTTGTTAACAATTTTTATTCCTTACAAGGAATAAAGGATGATGACAACGATGGCAATAAAAAGAAAATTATTCAGCATTCATCTAATGCTGAAGGCAAATGCACTTTTAAATGACAATACTAGCACTTTATACATTGAATAGCAGATGTATTTTTCCAGAAACATTCTCCAACTTAGAAATTAACAACATCTGACCTGTCAAAATTAGTACAGACACGAACACAACAGTGTTAAGTCTTTAGGAGCCTATAATGTCAGACGGTACAAATGCCTGTTTAAAAACCACATCTTTTACATTATTTTTGTTTATTGTTCTTTAAGCTGAAAAAACAGATGTACTTTACAATATTTAGTATAGGGGATGTTTTTCTCGCAGGTTAAGCATAACATGTTCAAAGACTCCAAATAAACATAAGCTTGTTTGACAATAAGTATAAATACTTAAGAATTACAAAGGTGAGTAAATTACTTTAGGAGATTTTTGGGCATGTTTCTACAGTGAAAAACACAAAATAATCAATTTTTTTTACTGCTTTTTAATGAGTGCCAGATAGCCTGCCCCTGTTGCAACTTCATTTTTGCTTTTACGAAGCGGAAATTATGTCACCATTTGTTTATACAACATTTTCCAAATTATATACTGTAGTTTGTTCTCACCAACAAGACAATATACTTCACGTGAATTCCGGTCAAGTTGAGGAGGAAGATACGGTGTGCGGCAAGAAGGCAAATGTTTTTGGCTGTGCTCAACGAACGAGCTAGCTTTACAGTAGTTCGACCTGGAGGTCACATTTCACCTGATAATCGCTTTTTGTGTTGCACCTGAAAGTGCACAGCCAAAATCGGTTATATGCCGTTCAAACACGCTATCCATTGTTAAACTTAATTCAACTAAACTACTGTAAAATCCAAAAATATTAGTAAAGGTACATTTGTATGGTTTTTTTTTCTTCTCTATGTTGTTGTTAAGCATCTTGAGGTTGTGACAATGTGAGGCCCTATATAAATCCAGAATTATTATCTATATTAACTCCGCGTAACTTCACCTACTGTATCTCCTCTAAAACCGCTTGCAAGAATGTGCTCATCTTCCATACACTGGGGATTCTACAGTATGTCACAAACAGGATAGTCTACTTTTCAACGATGGATATTGGACGACAAGGAAAAAAAACCACCAAAAAATCGTGTACCTGTTTCGCCATGTTTCACAAGTCACCTACGTCACATAGGTAAATCCCATCTCTTAATCTTTACTGCACTGCTCAGATTAAAAAATTATCGAGTCAGGCCGTAAACGAAACAGTCTATAATTCGCAACTTCATTACGTCACCGAGCATGCCTCACGTCAACAAAAATATGAGCAGCATGTTCGATCCTGATCTGCTTCTAAACGACACAAACATGGAGGTTTATCCATTGTACAGTAAACTGAGTATATTACTGTAGTGTTATATGCCTCAAACATATCAGCAATAAATGGCATGTTATAGAAATCGATCAGGTAAACATAAACGTATGCCTGGGCACAATTAGGCATGATATTATAACTAGGCCAAGGCCTAATAATTTCGGCTGGGTCCAGGCTAGCCACCTTCATCAATGAACACCTCAAATTTATGTAAACACATAAGATCAACAGGGTCGGATATATTCTTGGTATCTTTATTGCTCAAAAATTAAAAATAGCAGCCATTGGCTGAATTGGAGTATTCTTAATACAGTTAAATATTTAAAAATAACACTCATCTACAAAGACATTATCTACGAAGACATCCTTTAGAAAAATAGTAACATGCTAACCATAACATTTACAACCTCCTTGATTTCCCATAACATTCAACAGTATACATTGCCACCTTTCCCCACTCATTCAACACCGTGCTGAGCACGGGTATAATGCTAGTTACACTAATATTATTATCATTATTTAATTGCTTTTTTCAAACCTATTTTTGTTCCTTGTTTCGCATACTTATTTTTTTAAAGATCTTTGGAGGAGGGTGGAATAAAAATATAATTTTGTTTCTTTATTTAGCAGATAGTTTGGCCAAAAACATCAAGACAGAGAAAATAAAAATAAAATTTTATTGGTGAATGTAAAATGAGATGGTTAAATGCTTTAAATTTATATAATTAGGAAGGAATATACTATCTTATCTTTTGAGATTTTAAGGCAGAGGAGGACGTAATAAAAATAAAGAAAAGCATTTATTTTTTTCTGAAATTTCCATTGGCCGAAAATACAATTGCGCTAATTGGCCACAACTAAAATTTTATTTTTATTCGAAAATCATCAATATTCGCATTCAGCGGGTTCGTTAAACAAGGTATAAAAAAGTCTCGCCTTACCTGTACACTACGCAGCTTAACAGCGAGTGGTTGTAGAGAATGTAAAAAAATTAAGAAATAATTTAATTTTTCAACTGCCCAGCCTTAATTATTCCATTGAACTTTTAACTTACAATTTTTCTCTGGCATCTTCTTGCAGTCGATGTTGTAGGTCTACATTCTCCTCTGTATGTTTAAGTACGTATTCTTCAGGAGCCCATCGATCCCAGCTATAGAAAAACACATACCAACATTTTAATTTAAATTTAATTGATATAATGATGACGACGGCGGCAACAACTGACGACGATGGTGACTGGCGAGGTTGATGATTGATACGAGGCCGGGATAATGATAATGATGCTATGAGGAGAAGGAGGAGGATGTGTGTGATGATGATGATTGATAATGTTGATGTACTGAGTACATTATTAGATAGTTCAAAAATTCCAATAAATCTATCTTTCATTTCTGTGTATGTCCCTTCGGGGGCTAGACATTACGTTATGGTCTAGCAGTTAACCTTGTAAGATCGAGTAAATCCGGTATGGAGGAATGATGGGATTGAGTCAAAGATAAAATTGAATAAGACCTGTACTAGAAAGTTCACTAAAAAGCCACTAAAGTAAATAACACCACACATTCCTGATATCCGAATCCCCATGTGGATACTTTATTAGTAAACATAATACTTAGGCTGTGTTCACACACACGGCGTAAGACTGGCGTGGCTTACGCCAGGCGTAAGCTAGTCCACGGATTAAAATTCCAAAGTGTTCACACAAACGGCGTTCGTTAAACTAGCAGTAATATAGGCCTTGACAATAGTATTGTGTACAGTGATTGTATATATTGTACTTTTTTTTTGCCAAATAAAGAATAAGAAAATTAAGATACAATAGAGTATACAAAAATAATCTGTAATAAAAAGTGAAACACTTTTAATTTAATATCAAAATATTATTATTAGTTTTTATATATTAACACAGTACTTTAATTATTGCTCCGATAATTTACTGCATGAGTGAACCTTCATACCAAATTCAACATTAATTTAGTGAAGGCTTCTCTCCTCACATGGGACCTGACCTTCAAGGTCTTCAACCTCAGTTTTTGTGCAAAGATTCAAGATAAAGAAATTTGAATTTAAAACTTGTTCAATACCTGATTCCGGATTTTTGTCTGTCTCTTATACACATCTAGATGTGTATAAGAGACAGCCTATACAGTAAGGCAATATAGGGCATAAACACACGCTACCGCTGGGAGCCTATTTTTATTCATAGACCCAGTAGAATAGACCTAGAATCAAAGCCTACGTACAGTACATCATAAACAATTAGCGCCCTCAGCCAGTGAAAATCAAGGCATCAAACGGCAACAATTTTTAGCAAAGTTTGAATTGCCTGCGTAAAGGTGATGATAATCTCGGTAGGAATAGCTCGGTCAAAGTTAACATTTAAAGCGGTTATACTGTTTAACATTTTAGTATCGCGTATTAGACTCTTAATCTTTACAATTATAACTTATCCCTTATAATTATGATATTTATCTTATGTTAAGTCTGTGAATGTTTGTTTTTCAGATGCCCTGGATTCTACAGTAAGGTTAGTCCTTGTGTGGGAACCTCTGTGACAAATACTCAATTAAAATACTACATACTTGTTTCTATGGTAACATGATGAGTAATTGACCAATGAGAACAAATGTAAGTATGATCTGGCTTTGAGTAGGGTTTGTTTACAGTGTTTAATGCACATCTGAAAATCTTTATTATAAACAGTGCACAACTGTTAATACTTCATATTGCAATGAAGCCAAACAATAAATTTTTTCCCTTCGCCACAAAAAAAAAAAAAATAGTCCAATGTATTAACTCAATATGTTTGAGTTTAAAACACTTAACTTCATTTAACATCAAGCTAAGTAGACTTTAACTACTGTTACTTAACTCAAATATTTACAGTAAAAATTGGTTTTATCTCATTTATTTTCATTGTTTCACACAGAACATTTATTCTAACACTGTTAATCATCAGAGAAAAAACTTGAAATTTATTCATTTCTCATTTACTGTAACTAGGGTTTATTAAACGAAGTGCACATACTTATCCTCTATTTTTGTTTTAAGTAAAAATATTTATAAATGTCTATTGTCTAAGGAACAATTTGAAAATAAATGGAGACAACAAAATATCTAAAAATATTTAATTTAAATACCTATTTTTGACTTGTTTGTTTAGCATCAGAAAAAAAAACATTTCACTTGTTACCTTGATTTATAATTTGAAAATAAAAGGAATCTCATATCTTGTAAATTATCCACATAAATTAAAAATTCAACATCTTGTATTGATATGTATGTTGTTTAGGATGTAGGCTAAAACGATCCACTGAATAGTAATTAACATCGACGAGATTTGATTGACAGATAAACGGACTAATCAGCGAGCGTCATTTACTCACATGATCAAAAACTTTATCTCGGACATTTTAATTTCCTTAGACAGCTGGTACGCGAAACATACGTGAGCCTAGGCCTAGATGTCTATGCTTGGTTATAGATACCAAAGATAATAAATAGAAGTGCTGTTCTTTAAGTTCTTTGTAAATACCCAGATTTACACAAGCAGTGCGCATCAGTAACTTGGCCTTTGCCGACAACAAGGTTGACTGAATGCGGCTTTTCCCTCTTCCTTTGGGAGCGAAATACAGAGGCTTTTACAATTTCCCCATCATGTTCCATGAAATAGATTAACACTATGAATATATGATTCATTTGCATACCGCCTACCCTGAATTATCTTTCTTAAAGAGGGTTGATAGCAAAGAAAATCTTCGCAAACTCTGGAAGTCTAGCCGCCATTGTCTAAGGTTTTCGTGACTTTGTGGGCGGGCCTTCACGTCCTTGTCGACATGTCAATTGTAACTTTTCGAACTGTGAGGCTCTACTGTATAATTGATAATTACATTTCATTTTTATTAGAACATTTTCAAGAATGAACATAATCCATAATGAAAATAACCAGAAAATTCTAATTAAGATTAAAGCCGACCAATAAAATGCATTGATAGAATAAGCTAAGTTACCTAACAACATAGCAAATTATGTTCCCGCTTAAACATCACTACTTGTCAGCAGGCCTGGAAAAAGAAATGTTTGTGCCTCTGACCAGGGCTATAAAAATTGGTGGTCCTGGGTCCACAGCTTGAGTATTTTAGGGCTGGGCTAGCAAAAAATACATTAAAACTAGACCAATATTCAATTGCTAGCAATATTTTTAGCAAAGACAGACTTTCGTCCAAGCCAAAAAAATTAACTTTTTACAGCTCTGCTCTGACCATGAATTGTGTCGGTAAAATGCCTCTAGTACCAGTATGTAATATATGTAAACTATATAGCCAAACAGTTAGTTTATTTTTTCGACAAAAATGTCTCTGGGATATTCATGATGCCTCCAACCAAGAGTCACACACTTTTTCCAGCCCTGGTTGTCAGTGGTCTCAAAATTAGCCATGCCATGCAATACATTAATGTAAAACATCTATCAAGATAGATATATTAATACAGTAGTGTAAATATGGCTACAGTTTATAGGAGACGATGTTGTATTAATGCAATAAAATGTTTAGTTACTGTACCTGGAGTTCCAACCATTGAAGTGTACAAGATATTCAGGAATTCTTTTCCCTTTCTCGTCTCTCGTCCAATCAACATCCAGTATCTAAACACAGGAGATAGAAGTTAGTTTAAACATGAGACATACATTGACATCATTAAATAAACAATGGAAACAAAAAAGAATACAATATTCCAAATTCAAATATTGTACAATCAATTTTCTATATTAAAAAAATGTAGATTACATAAATAATGAACATTACGAACATTCTAAGTGCCACATAAATGTAATAAACTTTAAAAATAAATTGCTTTACTTTGTAAATTTCAATAAGTTAGTTTTCAAATGATATCAGTTAAAACAATGTCCTTTAAAATAACAGTTTCTTTGCCAAAAACATTTGAATAGTCCCCTATTTCTTTGTACCCTCTTAAATTTCTGCAACAACAGGGTTACCAAGCTGGAAGAAGTCACATTTAGGAGATCTAGTTAAGTGAGCTTTCTCAATCTTATCACACCTAATTCTATTTTATGCTCATGGTGATACCTATCGTCCCCAATTTCTGCGAGACAACTGATAAAAAACTTAGTAAAAACGTGCAAATACTATCAATTTGCGCAAGATGGATCTTTTCAGGAAGATTTGTGGACGCTTGTGGGAGACCATCCTGATTTACGGGAGACTCCCGCAATTATTCCAAAAAGTTTATAAGCAACACAATGCTTTTTCAAGGACTAACAGTAGTTTTAGTAATTTTTTGTTGTACCTGGTATGGAAAAACCCTGTGTAAAAAACTCAATGTGAGCCATGTGTATTATCATAATTATATTAATTTTATAGTGATTAAGTTTGCCTTCATGTCCTTACCCTCTCAGTCAGTTTATTGTATTTGACAATAGTATTGTGTACAGTGATTGTATATATTGTACTTATTTTTTTGCCAAATAAAGAATAAGAAAATTAAGATACAATAGAGTATACAAAAATAATCTGTAATAAAAAGTGAAACACTTTTAATTTAATATCAAAATATTATTATTAGTTTTTATATATTAACACAGTACTTTAATTATTGCTCCGATAATTTACTGCATGAGTGAACCTTCATACCAAATTCAACATTAATTTAGTGAAGGCTTCTCTCCTCACATGGGACCTGACCTTCAAGGTCTTCAACCTCAGTTTTTGTGCAAAGATTCAAGATAAAGAAATTTGAATTTAAAACTTGTTCAATACCTGATTCCGGATTTTTGTAATATCATGATTATATTCATTGCTAGGTACGTCAATCGATCGTACAATAGTAATTTTATTTGTGAAACCTTAAATATTTAAGGACGGATGTCGATCGTCACGTTTATAAGCAGTAGGCCTAGCCAAACCGCACGAGTCTCCAACTCTGCAACTCACTCAAAATCAAAAAGGCTCCACAAGGCGACTGCTCAAAAAATAAAAACAACCAAGCCTAGACAGAACGTTTTGTTTATTCGTTATCACTTACTTTCGAATCATAAAGCACTCTAGCTTTCGAAACATCAGGCTCATAACATAGTATTTTCTCTCCTACGGAAAAATTCGCTTGTTTTAAGCCACGAGTTGTGATTACTCTAGGTTCGTCCATATTCAAGCGGAACAGTCAAATCGTGCAACTTTCAAGAATACACAGGGCTTTCTTCTTCGCTAGCTCCCAGATCCGACAATCTATGCAGTGTCACATGAGACACCGCTCAGTAGCCAATCAGTTAACAGGTTACTCCTGGTCATCTAGAAATAGTATCCACTGAATCAACAGAGCGCGTTTAGTCATCAAACATTACTTTTTATGTGTAATTTATGTGAGTGAAACAAAAACGAGAAGTAAGACAATGTAAGTATTCCGGACAGGAAACAAGCATGGCTAGAGTGGATATTTAAAAGTGTTTGTGTACTGATTTGCATTGGAAATGTCTAGCTAGGCCAGAGTCAAGTTCGGGTTGACTTTGAATGAAGAGGCAATTCACTACAAACAGACAGGCCCGTCCGGCCTAGTCTAGCCTAGGCTACCTCTCTCTAGTGACTGACTTGGCCTACCCAGGGCCTGGGCCTAGCTATCAAATATACTAGTACTTTACGGTTTTTTTGTAAAGAGTGTTGCCTTGTAACTAACACAAATCAGCTAAAGTGTTTTTAATTTATACATTAGAGTTTATATATAAAAAATATATAATTTTTAAAATACTATTTACAGAGTAAACTAACTTAAATTGAATTGTAAAAAATGACAACAAGAAAAGCCAAGCTGGAAGAGCTGGATCCAGCAAAAGAAGGTTTAAGGGAAATTGGGATACAGGCAGTATGGTCGCTTTCTACTTGTAAACCAGGTTTTGGAATTGAGCAACTCAGAGATGACACACATGGTAAAATGAATATTTTCTTTAAAATTAAAAAGCTCAACCAATAATAATTACAGACCTATTTATTGTATTGATTACTCTGTATAATTACTGGAAATAGTGAATTTCTTAACTGTCTTTTTTTATTGTTTAAAAATGTATTAGTTTTTATTTTTAATATATAAGCCTATTTTTATTTAAATTTGTATCAATCTCATAATTGTTCAAATATTTCTAAGCTTCTTATTTATTAAACGGGCCCCTGGTATATGTACATAATATGTAAATCAGATTTCTGCAAATTAAGTATGCATTACATTATTTATTTCCTTGTTTATTTCAGAAACATACTGGCAGTCTGATGGTACACAACCACATCTAATTAACATACAATTCAGAAGGAAAATTACTATTGATAGCATTGCTATTTATGCAGATTACAAGTCCGATGAAAGCTACACACCGAGTAAAATTTCTGTCAGAGCAGGAAACAACTTTCATGACCTGCAAGAAATCGAAGTGCTTGACATGAATGAGCCAACAGGCTGGGTACGAATCCCTTTGAAGGACAGTAAAGGCCAACGAATAAGGACGTTTACGTTACAGTTGGCCGTTCTATCAAATCATCAAAATGGACGTGACACACACATGAGGCAGATTAAGGTTTATGCACCACTGCAGCAGACATCGCTGGAGAAATTCCCAAACTTTACATCTGTCGAGTGTGCCATGCATTCAACGATTAGATGATGTGTCCTTTCCGTTTCCACCGATAATGTACACAGCGCCTGCGCCATTGTCACTGGGCCATGCTCTTTTTAATTGATGCTTTCGAATTCCATGAATGCTGCATTTTTACTGTGGCAACTCACTGTGCACATGGTCAGCAGGTTTGCCTAGTCTATGACAACCAATTGCAGGGTGAGAAGTTCAGGATGTTTAATTTTGTTAAGGCTTAAAAGGATGAATATAGGCTCACCAAAATGATATGCAAACATGTTGCAGCTTCTCGTAAATTTTGTACATTTAAAGCGGACAATAGAAGGCATTGCTAGAAACAAGTCCCATGTGCTCCAATATTTGTAAAAAGTACATGGTTTGAAAATCATCATGGAATAAGCAATCTGATATTGTACTTACCATAACTATAAAAGCATGTCATTCAAGTTATAGTATAGTCATGGATTTTTGAATAATGGTCATATGAAATGCATAGCACTATTAATATTCTCTATAATATAGTGTTTGTTATTTGAAAAATAAAGTGAAGAATTTTTAGTTCCTTTGTTTTGAACAGGGTTTTTGCATACAGTACAGTACATAGAAAATACTGTTGATCAATGTGTTTCATATGAAATGCAATGAAAACTATATTTGACTCGGTTTAAATATTACAATATTGTTATTTTATTGTCATTGGTTAGAGCAAATATTTTTAACTAATGTTGACAAAAGAGTTTACTGTATCTCATTCATTCAAGGTGGGAGGCCCTTGGCCTAGCCATGAAAGTGCAAGGTCTGCCAAAAATTATTTGGCCAATAGAGGGCGACAAACTTATCTTGATTTCTGTCACATTTAGCAAGCAGTACATTATTAATGACAGAAGTACCCACTTATACTAGGTGTGGAGAGACTGGCATAAGTGCCTGCCCAAAAACACCAAGTGAAATATAAGGCAAAAGATTTGATACCCGACTGGTTAAAACAGGGTTACTAAAAGAATTCTGATCTCCAGTCTCATTATTCATTTTGCTGACGATGAGTGTAGACAGGCTTCAAAAACATGTTGTCCTACATTATTTTATATAAAACTTTCCAATTTGAGGAAAATGAATATTAAGCACTATATTCCTATGTAAGCCACATTTTTTTTTTTGATAAAGGAAGCCAAAATAAATAGTTTCACCCATTTTTCTACTAAAAATACAGTATGAGAAATTCAGATATGTTTATCTAGAAATAACAATTACAGTATCTCTAAAATTAATATTGCATCAAACAACATTAAATTCATATCAATTAATGTACCTCCATACATCCAACAAATTGAATATGATTTATATAATTATTTTCATAAATATTAATAGGCCTATCGATATTCCTACGAAGGAAGTGTAAAACAGTTATAACTCATTTTTAATGGAATACACATCAGATAAAATCAACATTTTTATATTAAATTTGTATATGTTAGGTTTTTTCACACAGAATAAATATATTTATCATATACTATAAAAATAATAAAGATATGAATTACTAAATTTATGCTCTGCTGAAATTACAGTACTAATCAACGTTAGGAAAGGGGTGTAAGCTGTTTTTTTGTAAGTATTACTTCTGTAGTAAAGTTTGTCCTGTCATTTCAGATGGAACATCCAACCCCATCAGGCTTAGAACAGTTGGTGCGACATCAGCTAGTGATGCATTGTGGGTGATGTTCTTGAATTTTTTATCTCCGGTCATTGCAAATGGCACTGTTGAGAAACAAGATGCAAATCAAATTGGATCAAAGTTGTTAATGAATTATTTAAGAGATTTAAATTCAGTTCGAAGATTATCAATGAATTATTAATACATGCACAATAATCAGTGCAAATTATTACATGCACATTTTCATCCACTGGTTGCTTAAACAATAGATCATTTTAGTCTATACAGTATTACCCTAAGAATAAAAACTTTTCTCAAATTCAGGGGAATAATCCATTACTGGTATGTTGCAGCTTGTAAATTGGTCTACATAGCAGATACCCATTTATACCTCTTAGTGAAGAAATGTCTCTCAACCTCGAGGTCAGGGTTCAAACCTTTGCTGTGCATTTTGTTTGTCTGAATATATACTGACAGAGGACCCCCACTAGGGTATAAGCATCAGTGTGCATCATCAATTTGCAAATATTATAATGTGTTTTTAATTATAAAAGATTTGTATATTAAAAGTATATATCCAACTGGTAAATGATTTTGAAATTGCCAAAAAGGTATATAATTTGGATAGCTTCTTCTAGAGGGGGCTCCAGCAACCGATGTCGAGGCATTGTCACTTTCACTAGTGCGTATACGCAGTAACCTTAGTCTCCCTCCACCCAGGAGTATAAATGGATACCTATTTGAAATATACTGGGGAGATTTTTAAAAGACAGGGTGGAAAGGAACTGGCACCCTACAACAAAATGCCAAGGCTGAGTACAATGGGCCCTGACAGCTACTACATTCTGTAATGAATATGAGAAACAACAGATTTGCTTCCCCCCCCCCCCCCCCCCCCCGCAAAAAAAAAAATAGATAGGAGGGCGTGGGATTTGAACCCCAACCTCAGGTTCACAACCACAACTACTCCAAGAGACATGGGAAAATGTATAGTGTGTCCTATATAGTATGTATTATACCTCGGTTAGTTGTATGCTTTGTGATGGGGTTGCCGTCCTCATCTATCATAAGCTCTGCGTTACCATGGTCTGCTGTGACCAAAAATGTATAATTATGTTTCTTGCATGCTTCTACCATCAAACCAATGGCTTTATCTGTAAGATATAAAACACAGTACAGTAAAACATTTTATCTTACTTTGTACTTCAGATGGGATGCTAAAATGTTGATAATATGTACATAAGGCATTTATATGAGTTCTCTTTTACCTTCTATTTTTACTGTATGTTTAACTGAACAACGTTCATTTAGAATCAACACTTTCAAGCGCCCTGAGCATCTTACATTAGATGGATTTGTGCGCTATATAAAACTACACTATTATTATTATTATTTAGCACTGGAAGTATTATTCAGCATAACACACACTAAATTTAACCAAATAAATATTATCTGCAACATTAACATTAGTATTACTTCCATAAATATTATTATATTATCACTATTAAAATCATTTTTAAGCTTCATGCATAAACGTACCAGTTTCTGTACAAGCTATGACTGCAGCATCGTAAACACCTGTGTGTCCAACCATGTCAGGTGGAGCTAAATTGCACATTACAAAAGGGAATTCCCCACTAGCAATAGTCTCAACCATCTGTAATATTATAAATGTATACATACATATTAAGGACTCGTTATATTTGAAGTTCTATAAATTTATCACTATCAAGTTTTATGAAAATTTGCATGAAATGCCCATATATACCAGGGGTTTATTTAAGAGCCGGCGCATTCGATCGGCTACTACGATGTTTTCGCCGGCTACTTCAATCAATGCTGTACAAAAATTAATACAAAAACCACCAATATAAATAGCGCAACAGGCCTGTAA